AAAAAAAGGCCTAAATTCTGTGATTTCAGTTCTTTAAATGTGAATACTTTCTGATTTCTTTCCTCTTCTTTGACAGTAAACTGAATATCTTTGGGAAAAACAAGACATTTACATAAACACTGATGCACAATTTTCACCATTTTCTACCGACTGTACTGTGCAAAAAAACTCAGAAAGACCGGCAGCAAAGGGATCAAATAAATTGATAAAATTAAAACAATGTAATACCGTAACATTAAAAAACTGTAAAATGGGAAAAATAACAGAAAATATCTTCAAAAATAGAGTTAAATACAGAAAAACTGTCTCATTTTACGGTCAAACGTTGGAAAAGAATAAATTGTGAGTTATGAAACATTGATTTTTGATGCAGGTTTGTATTTTAGGTAAAAAGTAAATTAAACTAAAAAAATTCAAATCAACAACAACAAAAAAAATCTGTGAATTTACTAGATAGTGTTTGTAATTTAACAGAACAGGAAACATTCGCAAAATAAAAGTAAACAAACACATTGTTATAAAATACTATTAAACTTTTTTTTTTTTTACAGTGAAGAGAACTACTGCACATATAACAGTGTGTTAGAACCCTAAAGAACATGTTTAGACATTAACAGGTTAATTTGCCAACATTTCGAGGCATATAAATAATTTTTGACCTGGAATTTTAAGTAAAAGTGTAAAAAAATGTAGAAATAGTTCATATTTAACATTAACACCTCCAACACAAAGTCTTATTGTCATTTTTTGCTTTTTTATGTAATTTCCTACCAAAAAAAAAAAGAAGAATTCCCTATAAATGAAGCGTCGCCCTTTGGAGGACCACGTGGGGCTGTTACCTGCAGGGCAGACTTCACCTCCACACAGGTGTGAACCGGAGCAGTGACCCCTCTGTGACCTCCCCCCACCCGCTGTAACCCCGGACACCCTCCACCCCCACCTCCTCCTGCCTCCACAACACCGCACAGCAGCTTCAATTAAGGCTCACCTGAAAGAGGAAATTGCTCCAGGAGGTGTCCATCCTGCGGCTGGAGGAGAACCAGGAGGACCGAGGAGGGGCGGGAGGAGGAGGCGACGGAGCCCGGGAGGAGACGCTTCAAGTGCGGCTATGAAAACAGAATCTGCGGCCTGCGTGTCGCAGCTGTTAATTACTGATTAAATGTCCTGATTAGCTGAAATCAGCTGCACTCATTCAGCTGCTGAACTAAAGTGACAGTAAACAGGCGCTGACAGGAGGCTCCTGTAAATGCGACAAAATGGTTGGTATCATGCTTAATGGTTTAATGGTGCCTTTTAATTTTAATTTGCTTTTGTCTACTGTAATAAAAATCCAGTGAATTGCATGCAAAATAGAGATTATTTTATACAGAAGATGAAGCAGGAGCACTTCAAGAGGCTTTTATTTGCGATAGCTCCGAAAAGGCCGCAGGGTCGGGTTCCAAGCCTCGGCGTTGCGTACAGCTCGTCCCCGTACTAGAGCGCTCCCGGTCGGCCGCGGTCCACGGCTCCGCCTCGGCGTTTCCATCGACGGGATGACATCTTTCTCTTTTTTTTAAATTGGCTCCCTCTCTCGCCCTCCCTCCCTCTCCGCCTTTCTTCCTTTTCTTTTTTTATCTCTTCTTCACCCCCTCTGTCCCTCTCCGCTTTAAAGGGAAAGTATTCGGTGTGTGCTCCCTCCTAGCGGACCCGGTCTCGGCTCGTCTCCCGCCGCGCCGTCCCTCTCGCCCCCGCCGCCGCCGCCACTTCTCGGTAGGCCGACAAATAATGAAATCCGACATTTATAGAATCAGCTCGGCCGTTAATTCCAACGCTTCGCTCCGTAGAAAGAAAAATCCTGCTCTGCTCGTTGGAAACACACCCGGGGCCACTGATCCGGACCGTGTTCGCCTCGCCGCGCCGAACTCTTAGCTGCTAAAATGGTGTCGGGTTTAGCTAAAACAAGGCTTTATCCCCCGGAGCATCTTAAAGGTAACGATGCGCGCAAGTGCAACAGCTGGATCTAACCTCAATACGAGGGCGGCTCACCGGAGTCCGTTCAGGAAAAACCTAATTTAATGTTCGCTCGGTTGTCGCTGCAAGTCAGTGCAGATAATGAGCATTAAACCATTCAGTCAGTGTCACGCTTTAATTCGGCTTCCATTAAATATTAAAAAGCAATATTTTTGTGACTGAAAATATTTATTTTTAACTCATTTTTGAACAAATGCTAAGTAATGGATCAATACTAATGTGTATATGTACATATATTTTTTAGAATAAAGAAAAATCTAAATAGATTCAATAGATTTCCATTAGTGGTTCGTATTTTATTTTTTTTAATATCATAATTGAATCTTCCAGGTCGTTGTCCTGTTCAGTTTTTATTCATTTATTTACCGTTTATATTTATTTTATCATGTTTTTCCAAAAAGATTTTTTCCAGTTATTGTGTAGTTTTTTTTACTCTCTCTCTGTCTTTTTTTTTTAGTATTATATATTCCTTTTTGGATTTGATGTTATACGTTTTTATACTAGTTGTTTTCTTTTTTTTTTAAAAGTATTTTATATTTATTTTATTCTAAAGTTCTGTCCTGTTTAGTCTTTTTATTTTGCTTTTTTTTTTAATCAGTGTTACAGGTGGGTATAGTGTTGTTTCTTTTTTGCATTTTATTCTTATTTCATATTTGATCTTACAAGTCACTATCCTGTCGTTTTTTTTTTTTTTTAACCATTAAACTAATCTTGTTTTTTAAAAATAATTTTTCCAGTTTTTCTGCATTTTTTTTTGTTTTTATTTGGTATTTTATATTATTGTCTGGATATAATCTTGAGAGTTGTCAATATGTTCTGTCTAGTTCTTTAGTATTTTATACTTTATTTCAGAATTAGATTCTATCACTTTTTATCCAGTTGTCTTGTTTTTCAGATTTATATTTTATCTTACAAATCTACCTTACATGCAGCCATGAATTGTCTTATTTTTTAGTATTTTAGAATTATTTTGTAACCGTTCTGACTTGTTTTTACATGTTATTATTATGCCATATTTGTCGTTGCCTGTCTTAGAACACGTGCAGCACTTTGATCAGTTCCAGCTGTTTTAAAATGTGCCATATAAATAAAGTGGATTTAATAAAAGCAGCTCATGTATTTTAATATCAAAGTCTCTTCATGCATTCAAGGGAGAGAAATATGGATGATTAAATGGTTAACATGACTGATTCTGGAAAACATGATTTTAAAATACAAAACAAAAAGCTTGACACTATTCGTTGTTTTTCTTTTTATTGTATTTTGCAGCTGCTTTTACAGTAAATTCAAACCAACCAACCAAAGGAACCATCAAAGCTTTAAATTACAAGTCATTTCTTTTAAATATAACATCAGCCTTGGCTTTCACGTAGAGATATATATATATATCTATATACTTTATAATAATACATTCTAGGAAATAAGCTCCATGAAAAACAGTATTTGTTCACACACACACATTCTGCATGGACACTTGGCTTTACAGCAGCAGTCAGTGACTACAAACCACAAACGGTAATACTTGGTGAGACAAACGTATGACCTGCATAACTTCTTATCATTTCTATGTCCTCTAAAATAATAATAATAATCAAACCCCCTCTACCGCTAATAAACAACAGTGCTCAGTTCAAAAAAAGCTCCCAAATCCCTCCAGCTTCAATCACCGTTTAACACCAAAACATCAGCAGGAATCTTCAGAACAAACTACAACAACAGAAAAGAGAGAGAGAAAAAAAAAAGTGGCTCGGATGTGACGAGAGGAATATTTCAAGTTCTTGTCTTTAATAAGAACAAGAGGACGTCGTCTGCATTAACGGAGTGAAAGCTGCAGTTTGTTTGGTCGATTTCAGGGACACAGGTTCCAAAAAGATGAATAAAAACTAAACAAATAAGGAATAAAGGTGGATATTTTTGTTTAAGTATGTTTTTATGCTGACTGTCTGGATGCAGGAAATGAAGCAGGACGAGGTTTCTAGTAAGTCACCATTTATGAGGTGCTTTTAGATCAAACTTATGGTTTTAAAGGATCATTGTGCTTGTTTCAACCTGCTGGATCTCCAATTTAGGTGATTAATGCGCTATATTCTCCAACTCTTGCAAGTATTCATGTTCTAGTTACAGTGTGACACAGGTGAAGCGAATAGATGGAGCTGTAGATGTGAATAATAATAGATAAAAATGTCTTATTATAATATGGGTGTTTTTTTAAACAGTTGTTTTATAGGTTAGTTAGAAGCCGGTGGTTTGTCGGGTTTTGTTTGCTCCTCAATCCATCGAGAAAATCCTGGATTGTTTGAGCTTTTGGAAACGACATCCAGATGTTTATCGATGTGATTTATGCTCTCGGTTAATCATTTGGTCCGTAAAACTTCCAAAATAGCTTCAAAATGCTTTCCACATGTCCTGTTTTGTCCAAACATATTTAACTTTACATCATGTGAGACAAAAAGACGAGCAAGTTTTTAGCACATTTGGGGCATTTTTTCCTTGAAAATGCTAAAATAAAAAAGTTACAGATGATTTTTCTGTAGGTTGTCTAACGACTGATATATATATAACCAGGATCTGATTAATAACTGATCTGCAAAGAATTTTATCAGCACTGACTGAGGAATGAACAGTGCCGTATCAGAAGGAGTGAAGCTCAGAGAAGATTTCATAAATGTGTGACTCCTAAATGTACAGTAAACCGGGAGAAATCCCACCAAGAGCATCAAAACACTGTTGGCACTCGGTAAGATCAATAAACGTTGATCTTCCTTTTCTGAGACTGAAGCGACGCCTTCCAACAAATCTCTCTCTGTCAGATGTGTGAGAAACGTATTCTAAATATCCAGCTGTCATTTTTAGCGTCTGCCTCTTTTCTAAACGAATCTGATATCTGCGTCGGTTTGATTGTCGTCTTCTTGCGTCTCTTCAGGCAGCAGATGAATTAACAGCTGGCTAATAAAAACACGAGCAGCTTCACACACACAAAAAATGGATTTTTGGAAATAAAATGATGTGAAAACGCGGCGTCGGCCTGCTCACATCTTCTGAGCTCCTACACTTTACATTTTACAAGCAGACTGTTGATTTCACGTCAGGTTCAGACTTTCTGTGTCAAATTAAATCAGAATGAATCGGAATTAAGTCCTGCTGTTTAATTAGAAGTTGTGCACGATGTGTTATGTTGTGTCATGTTAGTTGGATTAAGGTTTTAAAAACCTACCAGGAACAACAGCTCTAAAACCAACATAGTATAAATCAAATTAATTATTAGCTACTTACAGGTCGAATTCGTCACAGTCTGGTCGTTAAAATGACAGAATGTTCATGTTGCACAGTTCACTGTGAAGCTGCAACCAGACACTGAAAGACATTTTTATTTTTTTTTGCCAATTAATCAATTATTAATCGACTGGTTGTTTCAGCTCTAATGGAAAATAACATTAATACAGACAAGTGAGGCATAAATGGACAAATCTGTGGCCTAAATGTAATAATAATAATACAGAAGAGTCACAAACTGGGACACTAACAGCCCATAAATGCAGCAGAACATCATGTCATATATGTGCTGCTGTTATTATTATTTCCTGACAGAAATCATCGCTGTTTGCTTGTAAAATGAATCAGAGCTCAGAAACATGAACGGTGAACTCTGGTAAACTCTCCTGCCCTTATGTGGAATTTTCTCATGTTTGGTCACAAATCGTCTTTTCTTTCTTTGACAAACTTCACGTCTTGTCAGCTCACATCAACCGTTTCCCCTTCAGAGCATCAGAATAAATAAAAAAAAAAAACACAACATGGTGGGTTTGCTGCCGTCCAGCCTCCTCCTGACCTCTCACTGCGTCTTGGCGCCCTTCTCTCGCTCGGCGGCGTCCATGGCGGCCATGTTCTGCGAGGCGGTGATGAGGTGCAGCAGACTGATGCCGGACTTGAGCAGGCAGATGGTTCCACAGAGTCCCTGCAGCCAGTAGAGCCACGCTGCAGCACAAACACAGCCAGCACAGTTGAACATTTACACGCTGACTCACCTTCTGTTTTACTAAATCGACTAATATTTTGCAACAGAGACGTGACATTTTCTGTAAAAATGTTGTGACAACAAAAGAAAAACAGGCCGGTTTCGTTTATTTTCTACACTAGAAACTTCAGTTTATGTTCCATCTGCTTCAGGCTTCTTCCATATTTTCCACTTTAAACTTTTCTAGGCTCAGATTTCCAGACCGCTCAATAGATTTTTTTTAACTGCATATCTGAGAACAAACAGTTTGATGTTTATTATGTAAATAAAAGGTTAAATAACTGCCAGAAGACTGAAGCTGATACAAACCAATGTACAGCAAACCCACACAAGTTCAACGCACTTTGTTCAAGCTGCAGAACATCTCTGCCCAACTCTTCCTTTATTATTTTCCCTCAACATAATGGTTAAAAAAACAGAGATTTCCTCAGATTAATGGGGCAGATGAAGGCAGTTTTTAACTAACCGCTATCTGCACCTCAACCTGCTGCCTGTTTTCAATCAGCTGAAGCTCCGACATGTTGTTTAGACGAAGAGGAAGCAGCTCCGTGGATGAACTCTTACCCGCAGGTTCCTCGATGTAATGCAGAAGGTAAAGCAGACAGAAGAAGAGTTCGTTTCCGGCGCACATCACGAACAGCACCGGCTGCAGGAGACACAAACTTCATTCAGTTGCTTTTACTTTCAATTTTACACGAACAGATTTAAAATGCGGCGCCCCAGCTGACCTTGGAGGTGTAGTAGATCCTGAGGACGGGGTTACCGGAGAGGTCGATGGTCTTGTGACTCGATGATCCTTTTATCGTAGAGCTGAAATAGAGGAGATGAAGCGTCTTTTAACCGCGGAGCCATTATGTCAGTGTTGCAGAATATCTGTGGTACCAACAAAGTTTTATTAC